TGTGATCTTAAAACCCCATGAACTGATTTAATTGAGGTCCCGGGCCGAAAAAAATCTGATTCAGCTAATGATTATTTATGTTTTTGATTACAACTTTTTAAACCGCCTGTTACAGAAAACATAATGAGAACTGAGAACGTGACTTTGGTGCGTGGTGACTTCTTCTATGACTACCATTACACCACCCAAGCAGGGGAACAGTGGATTGAATTCACCCGTGGCGGTAAAAGTTTAAAATGTCAAGTTGTGATTTGGATTTCACAAACAGATTTCAAAAAAGTTGTCTCAATGTTTTAGTGAAAAAAAGTGTTTTTTTTTGAAATTGTGGTTAACTTCTTGCATTTTTTTAGTTTGGAGCGCAGCCACTGGCAACCATTTTTAAAAAAGGGGCTTAACTCATAGAGTAGAGAACTGTTTCAGAATTTTTGTTTCTTTTCTTCTAGAATGCCGAGCATCTTTGCCCATCACATTGAAGCGAGACGACGATGAGAGTGAAGTTAAGTGTGACACCTGGAACGATGCAGAATCGCTGGTTGACTACTCAAGATGTGTCAGCGAACTTGAAAAGTGGTACCCTTGTCCTACCGAAGTTGTAATAGAAACACCTAACAGGGATGTGCTTCACTTTCAGTCATTTTCTGTACTGCGAACTTTGTTGCGCCGAGAACGAAGCTTTTTCAATGCGTTTTGAAACTGACACAATCGTTTTTGTGTATTCTTTTATCAACTGAAGCAACATATTTAAATTTTTGCGAAACAAGTTGTTGCCATTTTTATGATGAAAACAATTTGTGTCATCACCTATCTTGTCGTGTGTCAACCCATTTTGAGAAAAACTCCTAATTTTTTTTCCAGTGGTTGCTCTGATTTCCGAAAAGATGAAGGATTAGTTACGCTTTAGCTGGTTGTTTTTTTTTCAGTTAATTTTCGATTTTTTTAACTTAGCGTTTAACGTAAAATTTTTAATACCCTTAAGGCGAGTCATGTGGCCTTATTATTAGGTTAGATGACGATTGGTCCAACTTACCCTATTCCAATTTACCTAATGCTTATTCACACTGGGCCACTCTGCCCCACGTTCCAATTTCACCCATTTCAATTTACCGTACACTCGTGTTAATTAACACATACCCAATGTCTTTGAAGTATTCCATAGAACGAATCCGATTAGACACTAAAGACATGCCAATGTACTGTATAGGAGTATGGGGTGACATGAGGAAAAACAGGAAAAAAAAAACCTTTTTCGATTTTTTCATCAGTTTTTTCAACAAGAATTTTTAACTGGCAGTAGTGGGTCGACCTTCAGGGTTTCAAAGTCGAAATTTGTCTCGCAAACAAACTACTAACTACTGAATAAAAAAAACCCTCAAAACGTTATTTAAATGCCGAATTTTTCCTTTTTTCAGGTATTTTTGCAAGGATACCCATATTTGAAATATTATGCGTTACTAGCAGGGCAAAAAATTTATTTTGCTTTTTTAATATTACAAATGTGATGGTTCTTAAGCTTTTCACCCTGCGTTTTTAAGCCCCATTTTCTCAGCCACCTCTCATATAAGACCACAATTAGATAACCCCACTACAATTCATTCCCTTCTTTATACCAAATGTCAGAACCAGAGTGAAACTTCCTCAAAAAGGATCCGGAACCATTAGGTCGAAAAACACCAAAGCTTTTTTTTGCAAAAATGTTTGCAAACAAAACGAAATAACACACACGATGCTAAATGCGATTTAGAATTGAACATTTGAACAGAAGTGACCTTGCCAATAGACTAGACTTTGATATGAACTTGAACTAATCCGACCAACATGAACAAAAGTAGTAATCGATAATGATAAAATTTTACAAAATTGAACCTATTCACGAAAATGTTATTGCTTATAATAGGTTAATTGGCTGAATTTATGTAAAATATAGAAGCAAAACTGGTTGTGAATAAAAAATGGAAACAATCTAAGTTTTTTTCAAATGCCAATAATTTTAACAAAAACGTATCCAACTTTTCAGACCATCTTGAGTGTCGAACTTTTTTTTGAATTGGCGTCCTTGAAGGCAATGTCTAAAGAGGCTGCGAGCCCCTAGTCGTAACCTAGCGTCCCACCAAAGGCGCGATTCTTCACGGATTATGCTGTTAGAGACAGCATTTTTTAAATGCGGATGAAGACAGTGCGTTTTTTTGCGTCTCCGGGAAGCTGCAGGGAGACGTCTTTTTCTCAAAAAAATGACCAAAGTTTTTATCAAAAAAAAATATACAAGGAAAGAATCAGCAAGTTTTTAGCTTAAGCTGGCCATAACGCGAATGAAATTAAAATCAGTTCTCACTTCGTAAAATTGCATATTGTTCTGTTTCCAGCACCCTACAGCATTTGCTGTTCTGGCTGAACCAGATGTTGCAGGATCTTTTTGATTCCATAATGAGAAGGGAACAGAACTTTTAGATTCGGGATGAAATTTTTTATATAATAACAACCAAAAATTTTAAAAAATCTTGTCAATTTTTGCAGTTTTTCTCACTTTTTTTGGTGCAATGGCATACTATTTGAATTTTTCCGTCAATTTTATCATCTAAAGTTCCTATTTTTTCTTCTGTTTTAAAAGCCAGTGAATGTTACATTTAAGTGCTCTATCAAGTTTTTATTTTTTGTCCGACTCCAGTTTTGATCTAACTTCCGCAGTTTTTTTTTTATAATTTTTCTGAGAAAGAAGAAATAACCCAGACAATTTGGAAAGATTAAAAAAACATCCAGACACCTGCCCAAAATTGTTTCAAGTCTTCAGTTTCAGTTTTCAAGTCTCTGTTTCAGGGGTTAATTTTTTGGGGCATCTTAGAAACCTTGGTATGTTTTTTTCCGTTTCATTTTGCAAGAAGGCTTATCTGCTAGTAGCGGCTATCTCTAAAAGACAAGCACTTGTAGAGTAAGTTGTTAAAGTTTTTAGTAATGACTTTGAAAGTTCCGTTAGCCAACCAAAAAGATAATTTTTTGAGCACACGAAGCATTTCTGAGTCGAAAAAGAAAAAATAATTTGTTCGTGATTGTTTTGTCCACTGCCAAAGCTTAGGAATTGTGTCATATAGTTCAGGTAGTTTCAAATTGCTAGTTGCTGGGGAGACTGCTTAAACATTTTCCTGTTGCTTATGTATGCGTTGTGCAGTTGGAATTAGGTTTTCTTCAGTTGTTAGGGCTAATTGGCAAAAAGGCAGTATCTTCTGCTATGGGCTGAATTGCAGTGGCGACTGCAACCGTCGTGGTAATACTCTCGTTCAGATCCTTGCTAATTCTTAAAACAAATCAAGCATCAGGTTTTCCCGTAAAATTTTCATGATTATGCTCACCCCACGTTTCAATACACTTTTCTCGGCATTTGTAAAAACGATACTTTGAGCCATTTCAGTTCGCAGTGGTTTTGTTGTTACACTTAAGATAAAACTCGTGGCCTCATAACACTAATATTTGTTTTGTTTGTCATTGGAATATAGTTTAAAATGGACTGGAGCTTCAAATTTTATAGATTGGTAAAACAATGGTTCAGGTGCAAAGGAGTTTAGTTTTCAACAATTTTCAAAAAAATTTTGTTGACTTCGATTAGCACCATGTAGGCTATCTCGCGTAAATGAGAGATTGTTTGTTTAGATATTCGAAATGCAATTTTTGAGATGCTGGAGGCATCAAGTGAATTAAGAATGGCTTCTCTGGCCTCAATTAGTTCTTTTGATTCGAAAACTTGTATGATCGAAAAATATACTTATTTGAACAAAAAGGCGAAACAAAGCTTCGGAAAACTTGCGATGCAAAACTTATAGTATTAAAAAAATGTTATCAAAAATTCAGATGACAAAATTGTTGCAATTTTCTTTAAAATTTGTTTTATCATCAAAAATGCCTGCCTCCCACATACTTTTTAAGCTGCATGCTATGCATTCAAGTATTCCGAAGACACGTGATTGAAATATTGGTAAACTGCATTGATGAAAGAACCAAACTTCATCAACTCTGATTTTTTTAAAATTAGTAAGTAAACGACATATAAATACCAATAAACAAAATTAAATTTTTCAGAGGCCCAGAAAATTAGATTACAAACACAACAAATGTGATTTGAAAAAACTTAAAACTAAAAAACTTGAAATAACTTGAAAAAACTTGAAAAAACTTTTAAAAAGATTGAAAAAACTCAAATTGACATAGCAAAACGAAGAACTGGAGTAGCATTTTAAACTTAAGTTATCAAAAATTTCAATTATTTTATTTCTGATTTGCAGGTAATTTAGGCTTGCTTGGTTGTCGTCTTCTTTTAAATGAAACAGTTACTTTTAAAACAAAATGGGCTAAAAAGCAATGGAAACATATTTCTAATTGTTGTAGAAAAACTCAACAGAAAAATGTACAAAAAAGTTGCGAAAACACACAAACACAATTATGTACACCAAAAAATAAATGATTAAAACAGCTGATTAAACAAATGAAAGAAAAAAAATTGAAATTAACAATTAAAAAATTATTTTCTAAATTGAAAGCAAAAAATGAAAAAATTTAAAAGATCGAATGTTTTTTTTTTCATTTTTAAGGGCAAAAAAGTTATCGATATTATAAAGGGGTTAAATTGTTTTGGGGTTATCTTGTTACGATATTGTAAAGTAGGGGGGTGTAAACATAAAGGGTTAAATTACGTGGAATTAAAGAGTGGGACACCGAATGTGATACAATCTGAACTGATCGAAGAAAATTGACCAAAGTTGCAGAACTCAAAGTTGTGAAAGTCGAAGTTACGGTATTATCGAGATCATATTCTACTCTTTTACATAAACTCAATGAAAGTCAGATAGGTTTTGACCGACATCTTTGAAAAACAACAGCGCTTGACGGTTTCGAGCGCGACATAATCGGACACTTCAAAATGCGTTTGTGATGATCATATGAACTAAAAACGTACTCAAATGGCTTAGTTTTCATAGCATGGGTAAAAATTTTGAAGCACATCTCTTATTAGAACCGGAAGTGATGCTTGGTGGGCGCATGAGGAAATTCGAAACGGAATGAACGGCTGGCAATACGATTTGTGCTGCGGAAATTCCGATTTAGAAATGAGTGAAAAACTTGATTCGATTGGCTTTTGCAAAAACGACACGTGTGAGTTCAAAGGCACCCGACATAAAAAGCCTGGATTCTGCATACGATCACCTCGACTAGATTGTACAGCTACAACTAGAGTTGAACTAAATGGAATTATGGAAAGACGCGAGGAATCGATTATGGTTTCAAATCAGTGTTGTTACAATGGAACAACCGACGAATTAATAGAGAGTTCAAATTCTGCGGGTTGTATGCAACGAGAAGTTGATTCAATTGACAATATGTTTCGGCATTATACAAGCGACCTGAAACCATTTTACGAGTGTTGTGGTCAATCGCCTCAATTCAAATGCGATAACATATTCAAAAAACACCGCCCGACTATCATCGGCGAGTACTGGCCTCGTAACATCCTCATAAACAGAGGAGACCCCCACTTGCAGACAGTGGACGGAGTCAGCTACCCCTTCATGGGACTGGGGGTCTACAGGATGCTCATCACTGATGATTCACCTTCAATCGGGGGTCAAACTGAACTACAGGCGAGCATGCGGAGGGTCGGCAACGGGACTGTGTTCAGCGGGATAGCAGTCAAACACGGAAACACTCTCCTAGAAGTGTACATTGACAAAAGTGCAGCTTTTAAATTAGTGATTAACAACTTCGAGAAGACACTGGGAGAAAGTGTCAGGGAATATATCCTGGCCAATGTTGCAGTGGAAGAGAGAGATGATTTGAAAAGCGTTCGATTTCAGTTTCTGGGGAATATGTTGATTGTGGAAGTGTATGTGATTCAGAACTTCCTCAACCTGAAGATCTCAGTTCCGCCCTCGTTCAAGTTTCAGATGAGGGGACTCCTGGGATATTACGACGGAGATCCAGACAACGATTTCCAAAATTCTGGTTGGTTCCATTTGAAGTTCCTTAAAGGTTGAAACACTCAAATACTCAACTGTTAAAATACTGTTAAAATACTCAAACGAAAGTCATCATCAGTAGCGTGCGCAGGAGTATTTTTGCAGAGAGGGCAAAAACTTTTCGGGCTTTCTCTTATTGGCCAGCCTTTTTGAGTTTTTTGGTCCTTAACGAATTCTGACCCCTTTTTGGATGGCTCCAAAGACGCTCGTAGAAAATATTTAGGGCTCGTTTGGCAAAAATGGTTGTCCTAAAATAGCGCCACAAACAAAGCACGGCAGTCCTCAATTTGAAGTCTTTTTCTACTTTCAGCCAATCTACGTTTTTGTTTATTTTTCAGAAGGCGTGATTGTGACCAACACTACAGACTACGCGTATCTTCACGAAGCTTTCGGAACCAGCTGGGTTGTGCATCCAGATGAGTGGCTCTTTAAACAGAGAGGTATTCTCTCTTCCATCGAGAATGACATTGCCGAGGGGTTTCCATTTGAGCCGATTTATGAGCCACTTTTTACGAATGAGCAGCTGCAACTCGAAGCTAATGAGGCGAGTTAGATTTCAAAAAAAAAGATTGGTGAAACTATAAAAATTAATAAAAAAACAACTGAACTAGCTACTAGGTTGTGGTTAAGTTCCTCCTTGATAATAAGTTTAAAACTGCATAACAAAAAATTGGATTTTTGATCGAAGATGAAGGTTTATTTAAAATTAAAAGTATTTTTCATCAGAACTTATATGAGACTAACTCATGATATTATATCTTGTTGTACAACTTTCGAGCTTTACAACTCGGTAGGCAAAAAACTTTAAAGAAGGCTAAAAAGTTTTCTTTAGTTTCGATTTTTTTATGTTATAAGAATGACTGCGCATCTCATACCCAGCGATTTTTCTAAAAGTTTTCTGGGATCTTGTCAGCTATAATATAAAAGGGGGTTCGAAACAAGGTACAAAATTCAAATATGCTTAGCCGTTGAATTCGTATTTTATAGGAGTTGGAATTCGTTACAAGGTACCATAGGGGGGATAATTAAGGAGATCCGTTTTCTGTATCTTGCTAGGTCTGCAAGGGGGACTCAGCTTGTCTGCTCGACGTAGCACTGACAGGAAACATCTCCATTTCGGAAGCATTTGTCCAGTTCGAATCGCAAATCAATGCTGCCCGCTTTTGGAACGAAGTCTTCAGACTAACCGAGATGAACTTCTTTATCGGAACATCGCCGCCGGCGGACGAATCCGATGACCTGACCAAACGATGGATCTTAGCTGTGTCTCTGAGTGTCATGACGCTGTTTCTACTGCTTCTTCTGGTCATGGTTTTCAAGAAATGTCTCGATAATGGATGGTTAATTTTTACAAGAGGAGTCAGGGTCGACGTTGTGGTTGACCAGAATCAAGAGGGTGAGGATCATTTTCCTCATCAAGAAATACGAGACCTCTTTTGGATTGACGTTACAGATGAAATTCCATATCTTAGATGAAATAAAAGAACAACTATCAAAGCTAAAAAATATATATAAATATATCTGGATCATACTACATTTCTCATTTAAAAAGCCACAACCTGATTTGATTGCAGAAAACAATGCAAGTCTTTGTTGGAAGAAACTGAGCCGATGTCTCTCAATAAATTTCGGGAATTATTTTACTGTATTAGAAATTGTATGGAATCGCTCACAATTCCAAAAAAATTCAAGTTACACAAAATTAACTTGAGAAAATTGTGACATGACATCTGTTCACCTTAAAAGATTTTATAGCTTAAAATGATTATAGTACCTTAGTATTCAATAATTCAATTCATTTTTATTTAGTTTTTTTAAGTTTTATATAAAATGGCGAAGTAAGGCAGAGTATGGGGGTGGACTTCTCACATGGCTGGATTTTGAATCACGTTTTACAGGGGGGGGGGGTGAAAGTATGGACACTAAGGGGCACATACGTCCTCCCTTGTGAATTTGAAAATTCTTCCGAAGCAAGCTGATTCAGAGTCTGAGTGTTGGTTTTGATTGCTCGGAACTGTACAAATACTTTTCTGACCTCTCGGCGAAAAAGTATCTTGTTTTGTTTTTTTTGTCGGGTTTTGGAAGGTGCAAATTTTGTTATTTTTCGAACTTTGCATTTACAAATCTTCAATCTTAATCAATTGTCTTATATTTCACAGGCGAAGAGTGTGTTGCGCCTTTTCAAATGTTTTTAGCAATAATTTTAAAAGATTTTTGGAAACAGTTGATTCGTGCATATGGTATCAAAAATTATTTTTAACTTAAGTTTCCTGGTAAGTGTGTTTCATTTAGTTATCCTCTGTTTTTGTTAACATTCATCTAACTTTTTTGATTTATGTTTGATTTGAATAGTTTCTAGCTTTCATTTTTGTGGTAACGAATTTGTTGTTGCCCTAAGAAGATTGCTTATATTTTACGTTGGGACCATGTGTAGGCCTTCTCGTGGCGATCATGTATTTGATCAGCAAATATGTTGATCTAACTAAGTGCACTTTAAAAAAACATATATAATGGATGATTTTGCAATCTGCATATGTATAACGCTCATGCAAGCAAAAAATCCGACAACAATTCCATTACTTAAACTTTGCGCGACCCATGTGGCGACTTTGCGCGACCCATGTTGTGAGTTCGCGCGACTCATGTTGCGACTTTGCGCGACCCAAATTAGCTATATTGCGACTCTGTGCGACCCATGTTGCGACTTTGTGTGACTCTTGATTCGACCGTGTTCGACTCATGGTTCGGCCCTGTTCGACTTTCGACCCTGTTCGACTCATGAATTGACCCGGTTTGACCCTGATTCGACCCTGTTTGACCCAAGAGTTGACCCTGTTCGACTCATGATTCGACCCTATTCGACCCAAGATTCGACCCTGTTCGACTCATGATTCGACTCTGTTCGACCCTGTTCGACTCATGACTCGACCCTGTTCGACACAAGATTCGATCCTGTTCGACTCATGATTAGACCCTATTCGACCCAAGATTCGACCATGTTCGACCCTGCTCGACTCATGATTCGACCCTGTTCGACTCATGATTCGACCATGTTCGACTCATGATTGGACACTATTCGACTCTATCGACCCTGTTTGACTCATGATTCGACACTGTTCGACTCATGATTTGACTTTTCTCGACTATAGTGTTCGTTCGACCGTCTTAATTTGCGACGAAAATCTGACTCCGTTCGACCGTGTTGGTCGAATCATGAGTCAAACACCTCAGCCTGGGAGGCAGAGTTTTTATTGAGAAATTTTTGGGGGAAGAGGGAAACTGATAGAACCTTTGTACAAAAATCACATTTGTTCAGAATAATTTGAGCCCTAAGTACAGCTTACTATCTATCCCAAACAGATTTGGGGATGCAGAGCAAAACTCAATTTTGAAAATGTTCTGGTAACATAGGTAATTATGTACAGTATATGTACAATTACTTAAAAGAATAAAAGAAGTAAAATGAAGTGTGAATGAAAACGTTTGTTCTAAAACTAACACCAACCAACAGTGATCGACCAATGTTTCACTGGTATCTAACCAATACCGATGGTCATTATGACATTATCAAAAAAAACAAATCACAGCAGTTCCCATCGGAAAAATTTTAAAACTATAATTTACTAAAAATAGTTCTACATACAGCAAGCAATGACGAAATCTAAAACTGAAATTTTGGAAAGTACAAATGTACAATGGGTGAATTGTCAGAATTTATACAGATGAAAACAATTTTAAAAAATGTATTTACAAGTTGTACATTTAACATGTACAAAAACTTATACACAATATTAAAGATAATCTAAAATTAGTTCTGTGAAAACGCAATAATACATAAAAATTGATAAAATTATGGGAGTTTTAATTTGAAATTTGAATCAAATTCATCTGGACGGTTTACAGGTTTAGAATCGATTGCTGAGGATATTTCGCTGGTATCGTCGGTATCATTAATTGTGGCATCCGCTGTAATTTGAGGTGTGAGATTAACTCCGGTGGATGAACTTGCAAGTATGGTCTGAATCGGGTTCTGGCTGGCTCGTCCCGTTCGGGTAGACTTTTGCGAAGACCAGTATACATTGGTTTCGGCAACCAATGTGTGTTCCGACGGAAAACCCACAAGCCGCATAAGAAAATCTGAAGATGAGTTGTAAGTGAAGCTGGCCCTCGGAGAAGTAAGTGGTTTTTCCTCTAATGTAATTACTTCAGCAACCGTGTCTTCTTTTTGGAGTACTTTATTGATGTATCTTTGTTCGCCGAAGAATTTGGGGGGTGGGGCACTTTGATAAACCACCGGGGAGGGTTCTTCAGGGGTACTGACTTAAAGTATCGGGATATCTTCTGAGACAACTCTGGTCACAGTTTCGGGAGCGTTCAAATCTATAGGATGCCATGCGGGTCCAGATGGGTGGGAGGGCGATGGGAGTGTACAATCATCACCTGTAACGCTTAACTCATGGTTAGGTCCTGAGCCGACTGCCTGACTAAAAGGCAAACTATTATTCGATAGGTCGTCGAAATAGTCCTCGATTGCTCCATCCCATGAGTTTAGGTTGAAAGATGAAGAAGAACCTGAGGTTGAGGTGTTTCGCGGGAACTCACGCATCATTACCAGATCAGTCGTCGGCCCGTGAGTTCGAGTAGGTGTGTCCACCCTTGAACTACCCTGCCTGAGTTGCGTCTGATCTATTCTGATGTTCTTCTTTGATGGTGACAGTTTCCTTTTCCCTGCTAAACTCGAAGGCAGTGTTAGTTTATGCCCAATGAGTGGAAGGTTCACAAAATTTTTTTTGAGCCCGAGAAGCAGTTTTTTTTGAATGCTAAATTGGATTTACGCAGGATTTAACCAATGTCGAGCGTAATTGTGTGTTCTGAAGAGTCAATGACGTTATCCTTTGCCAGGTTAAAATAGTCTTTCCCCTTTTTTTGTTAGCCGCCCTTCTATATTTTTCCCCTCCGGACGCTAGTTTCTTCGTGGGTCTGCTGACTTTATCCAATCTATGTAGTTCCGTCAGGGAAGTTGTTGGGTGTGATAGCGCTAAGCGTAGGTTGTCCTCTGAGTCTGTTTGTATCGCCATGTCGGCATCCAATTAGCCGTCTTCTGCCCCGTCGTGCAATTCCCAATTTCTTGCCCGTTGGTCTGATAAGATAGATTTTCCTTTATCTAAACGGTTATCAAAGGAAATCAGATTTTTCCATCTTGTGTTAGCAGTTCCAGTAAAATGTTTCTCGAATGGGGTACAACCGTTTGAAGGTTGTTTCGTAATTCTGAGGTTACAAATGATTTTTTTGATCAAAGAGTTCAAGGAAGGTTTTGGTAACTCGAATAACATGGCTAATAAATTAGATTTTAAAGAATTTACAAGTCTTTCTACAAGCCCATTAGATCTATGGTCTCCAACTGAACACTAAATGGTTTGAATGTTGAATTTTTCATAGAAGGATTTAAACTCGCTAGATAAAAAACAAGAACCATGGTCGACTGTTATCTTTCCTGGAAATCCGTGAAGATGACAGCTACTGTTTAAAAGGGCCTTGACGGAATTTGAGGTGCTGTTGTTGACTACTTTCGACGACGAAAACTTTGCGATACGATCGATGCACAGTAGGATGTACTTTTTTGATCTCTAAAAAGCGTCCAACGGTCCTGCGAAGTCCAAAATTATTTCCTTGTTCGCGAACGGCAACGTAGGAAGCTTTTTCATGTGATCCGTTCCGAATAAAGTTTTGAGATTCTTACCGGCTTTCAGGCACTAGTTACATGACTTACCGTGATGATATATCTCTCGGAAGATATGGGGCCACTAAATAATTTCAGTAAAAAACTTCATTCAAAGTGGCCTGGATGCGTTTCGTGTAACATGGAGCTGAATGTTACCCGAATGGCTGCTGCTACGACTAGCTTTTTATCCATGAACAGAGGGTCGTCTTTCACATGGAGGTCTTTTTAATAGTTCTTCGTATGGCATCCGTGAATACGTTTCTGGTGGTGTTGATTAGGTGTCATACTATTTTGTCATCTTTCGTCATAATCTATAGCAGTTTCTTTGAGCATCGATCTTCCGGGAATATAAGGAATTGAGTAAAATCAGATCCAATTTGTATGTCTTCAGAAAGCTCATATAATCTGTAGAGAGATCGCCGTCCTTGAGTTTCAATGCTATATTATGCACTTCCAGTATATTAACTAATGAGCCGGCAATATTATCACCCCTATCTGTCCCGGGGAACTTCTTTTTCTAGGACTTAAATGATCATATTGCATATTAAGATATAAAAAGACCTTGTCCGAAAACGTAGTGCTTTTATAGTTGAACTTAAAATTGTCTAAAGGTAAGCACTTTGAAGAACAATTTCCTGCTCTGATATGAGAGTTATTTCAAATTTTGATTGACTGAGCAATACAAGAGATGATAGCGGCAATAATTTTAAAATTGAAAGCTGCTAATGAACTATTTAAAAACCACGATCACTCAGATTGCTTGAAATTT